GCCCCGGGCGCGCGGCATTTGAAGGGGGCGTCGGCGCGCGGCACTTGGGAGGAGCACCAGCCCCGGGAGCGCGGCGTTTACGGGGGGGGAGCCTGGCCCCAGGCGCGCGGTGCTTGGGAGGATCGCCGGCCCCGGAGTGGGGTGCTTGCGGGGGGCCCCCGCCCCCGAGCACGCGGCTATGGGGGGGCCGCCTGCCCCCGGGCATGCATGTGTCCCCGCCCTCTGGCGCCCGGCCACGCCCCCTGGCACCCGGCAGCCTCTAAAGGTTGGGAACCACTGTTCTTAAAAATCTTCAATGAGGAAGATTCCACAACATCCCTAAGCAATTTATTCCAGTGCTTCACCAACCTGACAGGAAGTTTTTCCTAATGTCCAACCTAAACCTCCCTTGCTGCAATTTAAGCCCATTGCTTCTTGTCCTGTCCTCAGAGGTCAAGGAGAATAATTTTTCTCCCTACTGCTTGTAACACTCTTTAAGCAGGATCAGACTCTCAGAAGCTAACTCAGTTATCCTAGTATGGTCTACCCACACTGTAGCTGAAGCACTGATACATAAAGGACTTCAGCATCGAATAGACCAGTGTTTCTCAACCAGTGGGACGAGTACCCTTGGGGTACTTGAGAGAAGTCTGGGGGGTAGGGGGGGTATGTCAACACAACTGAAATTTGGAGAAAACCGAATTTTTGTTTTAAGTTTTACGGCGCTTGATTATTTTTGTCCTTTTCATATTTGTTCATTTTTTTTAATTGTATCCTTTGGTATATATGGTTGTGACTACTTTCTTCCACTATTTACTGGGGGTACTTACAATTTTTTTCTTTTGAAAAAGGGGTACTTAGGGTTGAGAAAAAGGTTGAGAAACACTTGAATAGACCATGGATTCTCAAACTTCACTGGACCACAACCCCCTTCTGACAACAAAAATTACTACATGACCCCAGCGAGGGACCAAAGCCTGAACCAGAGCCCTGTGCCTGGGGGAAGCGAGGGGGGGGCAAAGCAAAGAGAGAAGGCAAAACTGAATCAAGGTAAAACTGAAGCACAATGGCTTCAGTCCCAGGCAGAGGACCTATAGTGTCAGGGTCTATAGAGTAACTGAAATTACAGTGTAGACAAGATCCTCAGTTAAAGACTAGTTTTAACCTAGCTTGGCTACTCCAAAGTTTAACAGCAATTAGTAAACCACATTTTCCTGGTTATGTCTACTTGGCCACAGACTATCAGGAAGGGGACACAGGGACTACTAATTTAACTTCACTTGGTTAGCATGGTGTCCAAGATGATGGTGGCGAAGAAAATCTTGGTTCTCCCTTGTCAAGGATACAAGTTAAACAGCCACAACTCAGGCAGGATAATAAGGGACTGACACTCACTTCTATTCTGAATCCCATAATTCACTGGTATTTGAAGTCTGCTTTGGCTGAATGTTAAAGCCCAAAGCTCCGTGTCATTTCTACTGCGTATGATGAAATCATTTCTTACCCATGTTGAGACAAGTTTGTGGTCACTAGTACAGTTTTCACTTCTTCCACACCACTGCCATCAACCACATTGTCAGGTGTCGTTACCACGACCACCTCCTCCATGTGAACGCTCACATCTGGGGTCGCCATGGTTAGGCAAAAGAGCACAGCAATCACCAGCTATGTGGAGAAGTCCCTCCGGGAACTGGTTTCCTGTGTTTAAAAAAAAAAAAAAAAAAGAGAGCAAAAATGTGATAGATGAGAAGATTCCCAGTAGTAAAACTGGCTAGAAAAATAAGAACCACAGAATTGTAGAACACTAGAACTGGAAGGGACCTTGAGAGGCCATCAAGTCCAGTCCCCTGCCCTCACAGTACGATCATCTATATCATCCTTGATAGATGTCTGTTTAACCTGTTCTTAAATATCTCCAGTGATGGAGATTCTACAACCTCCCTAGAATCAGAGGGGTAGCCGTGTTAGTCTGAATCTGCAAAGCGGCGAGGAGTCCTGTGGCACCTTATAGACTAACCGAAGTGTTGGAGCATAAGCTTATGCTACAACACTTTGGTTAGTCTATAACAGTGATCTCCAACCTTTTTACACCCAAGATCACTTTTTAAATGACAGACCAAGCTAAGATCTACCGCCCCACTCCTTCCTTGAAGCCCCACCCCTTTCTATTCCCCTCCTCTCTATCACTTACCATCCCCAATCCTTATACTGCTACTTTAAAAAAAATTCCCAACATTCCTCGCAGCTATTCACCTGTGCTGTTGCTCGGTGAGTAGCTGCTCCTCAAATGAGGAAATCTAATGTAAATGTATTGCACAGGCACGCAGTTCAGAGAGGGCTCAAGAGCTACTCTTAGAGCCTCTGAGATCTACCGGTAGATCGCGATCTACTGGTTGGTGACCACGGGTCTATAAGGTGCCACAGGACTCCTCGCTGCTTTTACAACCTCCCTAGGCAACTTATTCTAGTGCTTAACCACCCTGACAGTTTTCTAATGTCCAACCTAAACCCCAATTTAAGCTCACTGCTTCTTGTCCTATCATCAGAGATCAAGGAGAACAATTTTTCTCTCTCCTTCTTGCAACACCCTTTTAGATACTTGAAACGGCTATCATGTCTCCTCCACTCAGTCTTCTCTTCTCTAATCAAACCCAATACTTTCAGTCTTCCCTCCTAGGTCATGTTTTTTAGACCTTTAGTCTAGACACCTGGGCTGTGTCTACACTGCACCCCTTTTCCGGAAAAGGGATGCAGATTAGACACTTCGGAATTGCAAATCCGCGGGGGATTTAAATATCCCCCGCGGCATTTGCATTTACATGGCTGCCGCTTTTTTCCGCGTAAGTCGGAGACTGCCTGTACTAGTTTGAAGCCTGCTACCCATTCCTTTCCTTTGGTGTCCTCTAGTCCTTCTTTATGGGAACTAATGAAGAACTTTTCTGTATGCACCCTCTCCACCCAACTCCTGCTTTTAGAGACCTCTATCCTGTCCCCCCTCCGACTCCTCTTTTCTAAGCTGAGAAGTCCCAGTCTCTTTAGCCTCTCTTCATATGGGACCTGTTCCCAACCCCTGATCATTTTAGTTCCCCCCCCCCCCCCCAGCCTCTCTCTTCCCCTCTCCCACCTCCTTTTCCCAGTATCCCCGAGTTTTGTTCAATAAAGAGAGTTTCTATTTTTGAACACACTTGTCCTTTATTTTGTACATCAGGAAGGGGGGCTAGGGAGGGGTAAGTGGAAGGAGGTGAGGGAGGAATGGGGTACGAGCCCCCGATGGGGAGGACTGGGCTGGCTCTGCGGGCTTCTGGGGGTGGAAGCTCTCCTGCAGCCCCCCAATTGCCCCCTCTCCCCAGATGGCAGCCTGCGGCAAGTGCAGCGGGCTGATGGCCAAGTGCTGTGATGTGCCCAGTGTGGGTACTCC